ACTTGTTACCAGTGACTTCCAAGTAAAATGTGCCTGCAGAAATGAAAATAGATTTTAAAAACCTCCAAGCAAACCTCTTAGAATATCCATAGAATACTTTTGTCTGTTTTTTCTTAAATATGTTCAGGCCATAGTTAAAAAAAGTGTCACTGTCATGTGTCTATCTCTGATTCTGCCTAACTTGGATGCTCTTGTTTGAATATGGAAAACAATGTTTGTCTTGACAGCTGATGGTTGTGTTTTTTTCTCTTTGCAGTGCATTTGCTCGATACCCTAATGCAATAGTTGTGCATTATTTCTGCTCCAAAGAAGTCAACACACTGGACACCTGACCTTGCCATGGTCAATAATCCCAACATTCATATGAAATTCAGTACTGATGACTAAAGAAGTTGATGTGTCTGAGATTTTTGAGGCTTGTTGCTAGGTTCTCTTACACTGGGTAGAAATCATTTGTATCTTTGGACTGACTGTACCTATCCAGCAATACTGATTTACTAGAAAATTACTTTAACCATGTTGTTACAGTGCTGGCAACTGCACCGAACCTCTCAGTCCTCAGATGAAGAATAGAAACTGATTTTTGTAGTGAGTTTTATAACACTCCAGCCTTGCAAATGAACCATTAGACAGCTGTTGGACTTTCACCACAAATCAAGTTTTACAATAGAATGTGCTTTCTTAGGGTGGCAATGTTGTGATTTGGCCTTGTATGTAAGTATTTATTCAAAAAAAGAAAATTCCCTGAAAGTCTTTGCAGCCATATCAGCATTGCATGGAGATCACCAGGTGTTTGTATAGAGGAGGCTTCTGTGTCTGTTTCTAGACTTAGGAAGTGTAACTTTATCTCAGCAACAGAAATGGTTTAAATGCTGACCAAAGGACTCTGTTTTGATATTCAGTGGTTTTGCCTGACCTTCTGCTAAGTTGTTTCACAGGAGATAAACAGACAAATGATAGATACCCCTAAGAAGCTTTTTTCCCTTTTTGTTTTAGTTTGAGAGCTATAAATGGAATTAACTTGTGTGTTGTTTGCACTGACTATGTTCACTGTTAGTGTGAGTGGAAGCTCAGAGACTGTTGGAAGAAGTTCACATCTGCACTCAAAGGAAAAAACAAAGAACACCCTGTAAAGCAATTTCTGGAAGGAGTGGACTCTAGTTACTGCTTGATCTTCTGGACTATGCTTGAGACTTTTGTATATAAATTCTTTAGTCTTTGGTTCACTTTCCAACATTGAAGCAAAATCCAGACTGTTTCAACATCTGTGTGTTTGAAATGCTCTAGAACTGCATTCTGTTCAGGCTGGTACTGTTCTGAAATTACTCTCGGGCCAGAAGACTTAACACAAGAATTAAGTTGTCCATAGTCACTCTAGACTGTAATATTTTTGTCTAACTTATTTTTTCAGAAACATTAATCAGTAGCAGATTGGTATGAGGGACAAAATGTTTGTTGCAGAAAGAATCTGTGGAGTGGTAATGAAAAGGCAGCAGCAGCAAATAACCCAGTGGAGGGACTGTTTGACTCCCAGCGTTCTGGTCTAGCAATACTTATAAATAAATCATTATGAAGTGGTATGGAGCATGACATGTAACTACCATGTATGACATCTTAAAGAACAAGCTGATGAATAAATCTGGACTGCCTAAAGTGTAGTGGAACCTCAGTTAACATCATAGGTTTACTTAAATCATGTGAGTTTTTTTTTAGGAACAGATCTGCTATAGGCTGAAAAGGGTCCTAATTCACTTTCATCTGCCAGTGTTAAGAGTTTCCCTTGATAACTGTTTTTTCCTTGTTCATATGTGTTTGTATTTATTGTTCATGCATTCTTCTGGGTTTCTTAGTCCAGTGTTTTGCTTGGATGTCTTGGGCAGTATTGCTATTGAATACTTTCTGCAGAGGCTGGATAGAGGGAATCTGTGGTGTTGATGTTTTTAAACTTGTATTTCTTCTGTTTGAAGAAGAGAGCCTAAAAATACTTACACTAGATTTGCACATGCTGTATAGATCTCTATCTCTAGTTCAGGTACAGAGGGAAGATGGTTTGGGAGAGTTGTGTTTACAGGTCGTAGAGAATGAAGACAGGGTTTTTAAAAAGACCCTGCATTCTTTGTATACAGATATAACAATGCTACTCTGATTTTTACCTTATGTTTAGTACTGGTAGTATGATTTTTATTTGCATTCATTATCTGTTACCAGGATCTTCATTGTGCTCTTACTTACAAGACTAAAGTTGTGCCTCTGTTCGTCTCCACTGCATACCTTTTACAGAGATGTGGCTTGTGCTGTACTTTTTTTTTTTTTTGTTGGTTCATACAATGTGCTTTGGGTTTACCAAACCTACAGCAGGCTTATCTAAAGCAATAGGTTGTAATAAATATCTTGAACCAGTGTGTGTTTCAGTCATTGTGCAGTTAACTTTCTGGGCTGATGTAGATTTTATTTTTATTTGTATATTAGACCTCACTTTCTCCTGGAAGTCAGACCCAATGCAGTATCTCAGTATTCCCCTTGCTTTAGTATGTGTAAATCAAGTGTGTCAATTCTCAATGTAGGTTTTTAAATCTACAAGTTTATACATGCTTGTGAATGTTCTCAAAATTTTACGAAAACCACTTTTGAATTATCTCTTGGAATAATGTTTTTGCAAATCTTACACCATTATACCATCAAATATGTACTTACTAGAGAACACTAAAATTACTGACAAATTTTTTTTTGAGTGGTGATGCATTCAGGGGTGTTGAGCTCTGTGTGACCAAATCAGGAAATATTTAGATTCACAGGTTTGCACTTGTTTGGGCTGTAGGTCATAGAGTAGTCTGGTACTGGAGGTAGAATACAGATCCTCAGTTTTCCCATTCTATAGCCATGGGAAGCACCAGCACAGAGGAAGTCTCCTGTCTCCATGTTCACAGAAAGAATCACAGGATGGGTCAGGTGGGTCATTCAGTGCAAGCTCCCTCTCAAGCAGGGGCATCTCCAGCAGGTTGGCCCCTAGCCTGTGCTGGTGCCTGGGGTTATTCTTCCCAAGTGCAGGACCCTGCATTTGCCTTTGTTGGATTTCAGACAGTTCTTCCCTGCCCATCTCTCCAGGCTGTTGAGGTCCTTCTCAAGAGCTGCACAGCCCTCTGGGGTATCAGCCACTCCTCCCAGCTTTGTGTCATCAGTGAGCTTGCTGAGGAGGCATCTGCTCCTTCATCCAAGTCGCTAGTGAATAAATTGAACAACTAAGTATATTGGTGTTTCTGGAGAAAACTAAAAAAATCCCTAACAAACACAAATCTTGTCCTTGCTTCCTTGATTGCATCCTTTCAGATTTTCACCTCTCTTCTACTTGTATACTGCATCTCAGCTCTCCTCTCAGTGCTGCTAATGCAACCAAAAGGGGCCCTTGTGACATCTACACACATCTTAAATAATATATAATGTAGTTGGTGATGATGTCATTTAATGCTTTCTGATAAAAACCCCCAAAACTGCAATGTACATACACATCTGCCTTTACCCCTGTGGGCATAAAAATCAAAGCAGAAGTAAAATTGCGAGGTGGGAGGCTTTCTTTGCCTCATCTTTTGATGTCTTTGTGCTTGCCTGTTTTCTTAATCTGATGGGAAATAAAACCAAGTAGTTTCTCTGGATATTAAGTTTGCTATTAAGACAACAGTGTCTGTGGATGGTTAAAACTGCACACAGACACTGCAAATGGATGATCTGTTGATTATGGAACAATTCTCAAGCATATGTTCTAAAGAGCTTTCAGTTTTTCTTGAGAGATTTAGGACAAATTCTGTAAAAGTGAGATCTCTGTGATGAGTGAGATTTCACTGGAAGAGGAGAGAGTGTCAGAAGGCAGGTAAGCTGAATTTATGTGCAATTGGGCACTCAGGACAAAGTAGAGGGTTTATGCACTGCCTGTAATAAACTAGAATAAGTGTGATTTCTCCATGCTACTGTACTGTGAGGTCACCTCAATTTTCTTGTAATTTATAGTCAAACTGTTCGATTAAATGTAAAAAAAAAAAAAAGCACACTTATGGTTCTACAATCTATTTGAAGAAAAATAAAACCTAATATGATAGTCATAGAATTATTTGGGTTGAAAGGAACCCTAAAGATATTTTAGATTCAACCCCCCAGGGTCCCAACCTGGCATTGATGAGGCATCCACAACTGCTGTAGGCAACCTGTTCCTCAGAATCTTCTAAGTAAAGAGTTTTTTCTTAATATCTATTCTAAGTTTACCCTCTTTAAAACTGTTCCCCCTTGTCCTGTCACTATCTGGTAGTGTAAAAAGTCACTCTCCCTCTTTAAAAGCCCACTTTAAATACTGGAAGGCTTTTATGAGGTGTCCCTGGAGCCTTTTATTCAGTCTGAACAGCCTCAGCTCTCTCAGCCTTTCATCATAGGAGTGGTGCTTCAGTCCTTCGCTGTCAGTGCAGTGGTGAGTAGAAAAGCAAAGAAATAGCTTTTTCAGCCCATGTCTGCTGTACCATTTAGTAGGACACGAGGGCTTTAGAGCAGCTGCTGGCTGTTTCACAATGGCATTGTTTGCTTTTTACTTCTGTGTTGACTCTTCATTCTGTGAATTCACCACCTAGTGCTGACTTGTTTGTGTTTGAAATGTCAGTTCTTTTATTAATTTTCTTAAATTCTAGCCTAGCGACTGACGCTAATGACAGGAAGTGATTAATGAATGGGACCTTGTTGAGAATGTGTCACATTCTCATGTTTGCATGGAGCTGATGACATGCTGCATTACTGGCTTTCATACATTTTCTGTCACTTGCATTGTTGTAACACTAAAGTTTGGTACTTGGTCTGCAATTCCAGTTTATAAATTTCAGCTCTTTGATAAAATGCTCCAGTGAGGCAACTGTCAGCAGCTGCTAATAAGCTAATCACTTTTAGTAAACTATTTCCTTCACTGCTTCATTATTTTTTAAGGTGTGATAGATTCTTACAAAAATCTGTCCTGTCTCTTGTAAAGTTTTTTGAGAACTTTTGGTGGAAGAATTAAGACTGTGTTACGTGGAAATGAAGAAAAAGGGGAGACTTCTGCAGGCTGCTCAGAGAGGGGAGATGTGGGGAGTTGATATTCCCTGAGGCATCTTATGGCAGACCAAACTGTGGTGTCTCTGCTCTGGCCTCCCTGAAACTGCTCTGAACAGCTACAGGCAGTGACAGACTTCGCTTTACTTCAGGCTTGTAAGATGGGATTTTTTTTCCTATTTAAAAGTACTGGTAGATTGTGCTGAAGCTCTGAAAAGGATATGAAATGGCCATAGTTGTACATCGGGTTGCTGGAACTCTCAAAATCTGGATTGGGGATTTAGGTGTCGCAGCTGGATCACAAAGTGGTGGCTCCTCCTGCCCAGCGCTTCCCTGTTTGGTGCTGCTTCGCTGTCCTTATCTTGCAGCAATATTGGAAAAACCTGCCAGCGAGGTTTTGAGCCGGCTTGTTTGGCAAGTGTGGGCCACACCTCCGCTTGTCCCGGCTGGAGCACAGCCCAGTCCTGCGCAAAACTTCGCACGAGCCCGCGGCAAGCCGCGCTTCGCAGCCGGGCGCCCGAGGACTCGCCTCGCTCTCTGGCTTTCCCTGTCAGATTTTCTGCAGAGACAGCAGGACATTTTCCCCATGTTCCATGAGGTGCTGCGGGGGCCATTTCCACCCAGAGTGCTGCCTTTTCTGGCAGCAGTGCTTTTCCAAAGGAAGGAGAGAAAAGAGACTGGGTTCTGTCACTGGCGGGTAAGAGACATCGTGGTGCTGGCTCGGAGATGGCATTCCTTGGCTGATGTGCTCAGGGGTGACTTCCTGTTGCTGCGAGCATGGAAAACCTGTCCTGCACTTCTGCAGGAAGGAAAAAGTTTATTGTTATCCACACTTTTCTCTTAATGATCATGTAAATGGAGATTTCAGGCTTTTATTGAATTTAGGGTCTGCCTGAGGAAATCCAGAGCGGATCTGTGTTTCCTTAGGTTTTGGGGAGCAGAATTGAGCTGATGTCAAGTACTTTTTTGTGGGGAGAGTCCAGAATACTGTACTTTTCATCAGTGGAGACGAAATCATGCTTATGTATTTTCTTGCCAAATAACCTTGACTACAGTTGCCTTCTGTTCTGCTTTCTATCTTACCTTACAGGGATTAATGGTCTCACTTAGACAAAGACTAATGATGGCTTCAGCTCCTGTTCATAATGCAGTGCAACCACAACAGATAAAATGGTTTTGAGGTGTTTGTCCTTTAAATAGAATGAAATAATTTCATTGTATAAGATGGTTAGGCTAATAACTTCAATTTTGAATTAAGCTAAATGTTTATGAAGGACCTTTTGAGTGGAGAATTTGATCTATAAGCTGATCACACTTGTCCTATCCTATCACACCAACCCCTCAATATACAACTTAAAACTGAGGTGACCATTAATTGTCACAAGACAACTTGCTGCTTGTATCGCTTTCTGCACTTCTGCTTGCTGTGTGATAGAAATAAACTTGTTGACTTTTTAATATTATTGTTTAGTACTTAGGAGATCAGGTTAGAAGAGGCTCATGTTAACCTCCATTAACCTGTAAAACAATACATTTTCCCTCAGATGCTTGCTATTTAAATTTTAGAAAGATTAACATTACTTAAAATTTTGCTGGCTGTAGGAAGAGATTTTAGTATTGACTAATTGGTAGCAATTGAGCAAATGGGTGGGGCAGCAGATCATCCGTTTGGGTTTGTAGGTAAATTTAACACAATCAGACTGCTTTAATTTTCCAGAGTTTAGCATTGGATTCACTTCTAAAGGCAAACAACAATAACCTGACAGTGAACCTGGTGTTTGCCACTGCTGTTGTGTTCCTGAGCTGCTGGCACTGCTCATGTCCTGGCTAACTATAAATCCTGCCTGCCAGAAGACCATGGCTCTTAGGGCTGGGTCTGTGAGTCTCCTGAGGGAGGAGGGACAGTGCAAGGGGTGCCCAGGAAAGGCAGGGATTTGCCTTGGTCTTTAAAAGCAAGCTTGTGACTCTTAGGCCACAAAGAAGGGAATGATGTGCAGCAGTGTTTCTTTGGGAGTAGGAACAAGATGGGGAGAAACTGCTCCTTTGGTAAACTGGACATTTCTTTGAGCCGCCTAATTTTCCCAATAGCTGTGAACACAAAATGTGTCTTAGAAGGTGTCTTTCTATTTGCTATGACAGCATTTTTGTGATCAATCTGGCAGGCTTATGATGAGTCCTCTGCCTGCACTGAGAGCTGTGGGGTGGATCCCAGCACTTACTGCCCACTGTATAAAGGCAGGTGTCCTGGACTATGTGAAAGTAAAGATTACTGGGTCCTACAGCTGGGATGACTTGTTCTGCAGTCACTTCCAGCTGCATCAGCATCTTCAGTTTAGACCAAAGGTACAGACAGTTTGCAAAGTTAAGTTTGTGAAAATTCAGCCTTGTGCCTTCATTTTAGGATTTGAAGGGGGCTTTTGTTTTTTTGCTTCAGATGCACTCCTGACCTCTGGAAAAGCAGTGATTCTGAAAACCACTGAAAAGCAAAGCAGAAGTTAGCTGCTTGCATCAGTCACATACATTGGTAGGCTGCCATGCAGAGTGCTACAGGCAGAGCTGTCATCAGTATTTGTTGCCCATTTCCCATATGGATTTCTTGTCTGCCTTTTCCTTGATCATTCAGATAGGGCATATCTGATACTCCCATGCTTCATTACTCTGCAAGCTCACCTGCAGCATGCTATGACCTTGCTGTGCCTTTGCTAAAAGATAAGTAAAAGAGGCATATGAGGAGGTTCTGGCATAACTGATTGCACAGGCTTGAGAGCACAGTGATATTTCTGTTGAGTTGTACGCCCTTAAATTATGATCTGGATGTGGAAAATATTCCCTCAGCTGTGTAATGATTGGCTGTAATTTGAAGGTGTTAGAGACCTTTGGAAAGGACTTTTGAACATGTAAGTACATTGACAGATGGTGTGCAATAAAAGAAGGATGGGTTATCTTCATGGTGCTCTGTGCTTGCTCTCATAGTGTCTGATTTCCAGGCAACAGCCATGCTATGTGAATAAAGACTGCTTTCACAGCCATGGGGTGTGATTATGTAGCTTCATGTCTCAACAAACAGAGGAGTTGCAGGAACTTTAGGAAGCTGGTGAGAGTAACATATACAATCAGGAATTTCTATCAGTAATCTATGCTCCAAGTTGATGAAGTAGAAAGGTGGTCAGCCTTTGCCTGAGAAACTAGTGTCAGGGACTGAATAAAAGAAAGGTGATTAGGAAAGGTTTAAAGATGGAAGAAACTAGCATCTGAAGGGTGGAAGTCATGGTGAAATTCGCTGTGAAGGCATGTCTTGTTCACAGAAACAAATAAAGGAAAGAATATCTTCAACATGTCATTTCTGCGAATAAGTGTCTTTAAGATTAGTAACAGCATAACTGAAGTTTATTTGCACAAGTTTAATTTAGTACCTGCATGTGAGAAATCTTAGGTGACTCATGTAGTTTTTGCTCTTTGCTTGTTGGTCAGGATGGATGGTGCTTGCTTAATTCAAAAATGTTCAGTATACTGTGTATGCCTTGGTTTTATTGTGTTGTTCAAACCCTGTTTTGCAAAAGCTGGCAGGTATCCCTAAAAGATGAAAAATAAGGAAGACCCACCAAGAATGTGACTGCTTAACAAACAGTATAATTCCATTTATCAGATAAGGAACACTCAAGAAGAGTTTAACAGTTCAGGATTCACTGGTTTCTGTGAGATCCAACTCAGTGATATGTAGGCCCTACATTTTCATGGAATATTTCAAGAATCATAGAATTGAAGACTGGTTTGGATTGGAAGGGACCTTAAAGGTCATCTTGCTCCAACCAGCCTGCCATGGCTAGGGGCACCTTCCACTAGACCAGGTTTCTCAGAGCTCCTGCCTGGCCTTGAACACTTCCAGGACAGGAATGGGCATTCACAGCTTCTCTGGGGAACCTCTTCCAGTGCCTCATTTGTCAATCTGCAGTATTTTTTTGTAAGTAATGATCTTGTTGAATTTAATACTTAGCATATCTAAAATTAAACTCTGGTCTCAAGCAAACCATGTTGAAAATTGTGAATGTGAAGTAATGCCCATTTGTGAAAAGCATTTTGAAAATGTGATTTAAGAATAGGACAAGTTCTTAGCTGGCCAGGATTGTGTCATAACTGATGAAAATGAGGCAATATCTCATTCTGTTCCTGAGGCTTACACAATTACTTCTGTGCAGTCTCTGTACTAAATCACCTCAAGCAGTTCTCTCTTGTTCCCTGCCCTCCCCCACTTCTCCTTCATGATATTCTAGGATCTAGTCAGACTTTTTTTTCCCACTTCACATGCTGGCATTTAGATACTAATATTACTTTCCAAAAATAGTCTCCCAGAAGCTTTCAAGAGTAAGGATTACATTTTTATCTGTGCTGGTGAAGTGACCTGAATGTTTAGAATGCTGACACCAGTTAGCAGTCCACAATGAAAATGAATTTGAGTTTTGTCTTTTCTAACTCAAACTGCCATGAGGTGTTTTGGCAAGCATTTTTTTTTCCTCATTGTAAATACTGTGTGCCTTTTATGACTTTAGACCCTGCTCTTCAGATTCTTGCCACGTCTGCTTTTACTCATGCATTCATTTGCCCTTGGCCAGTGCTCTTGAACTAGCTGTCATGAATGTGTTTGAGCAGCTTTAGCACCTGTTTCTCACTCAGCAAGAATGTACTAACAAAGCAATTAAAAACTGATCTATAATTAGAGGAATCCCTAAATAAGGGGATTTTCTTACTTTCTGAAGTCCATGAGGAGTTACCCTAAGACATTGCTCTTGCATTGCCAAAAGGGAATTGAGTTTCCTTCTAGGCTCCTTTAGTTGTCCTCCAGGGCACTGAAAGTGCTGTGTGTGTTCCCAAACTGATTTGCTAATAGCTCAGTTTGGGCTGGTTGGTTCTGATCCATTTCTCTGGTCTAATACTGGTGTGGTTACAGAGCAGGCATTGCAAGTGAGCTAAATGATGAGCTTGTTTCTCTCTTTTCAGTGGGAAAAGCACCCTTACTACAACCTAACAGTAAAAGTCCTCCGAGCCAGAAACATCAAGGGTACAGATGTGTGTAAGTATTTACTCAAGGCATTATGAAAACATGTTGGTTCCTTGGTGCAGGCCTCCAGCACAGAGAGCATTGTTAAGGCAGCCTCTTATCTACATACGCTTCATTGCCTTTATGTCTCAACAAAAGCTCCTCATGTAAAGCATTATATATATAGTATAATGTATATTTATACTATATTGTATAGTGTATCTATGATATAGTATATCTGTATTTCAAAAGCTTTATGTGAGACCCATCTGCAGATTGAGCAGCTGCAGCTGTTCTTTCTTTGCAGAAACAAGATCAAGTAATCCTGGTACTGTTTTGCTTCCCTGCTCCTTTACCCGCTCTACTGTGGCCAATTCTGTATTCCTTTCTCTGGATTCAGCCTTCTGGGTATGGCAAGTTTCACCCTTGCTCCTGCTGAGTAGTCTTCCTGAAATTGGAAGCAGAAATCTTTAATTCTAGCTTTCAAATGTTTACTTTCTCAGTTGTAGTAGTGCTTTATTTGATGTACCTGCTATTTATTTGTCATTGCAGACTTTAAAGGAAGCAGGTGGTTGACTGCTTCCAAGATAAACTGCTTTTAATCTGTTCCTGGTTTTGATAGCATGGTATATATTCCCTCCCTGTGTAAAGATCTCATGGCTGTTTGGGACATTTGGATCTTTAAAACTCATTTATATTAAATTACTCCAGATTAAATCAAGTAAGATAGTCTGCCTTAAGTTTATATCTGGCATCCAGCATTGAACTACTGGGAGTGCCAAATAGCTGTTCAGGGAACAGAAAAACCTCCTGAGAGGTTGAGGGCTAGAATCGTGTTGTGAAGAGTTCTTTTCTATGGCCTGGAGTGAAGAGTGGTCCCCATACTTGAATTGTTGAAGGGGCCCTAAATGGAAGAAGGAAGGGCTCTGAGACAATAATTTGTTTTCAGGAAATGGAAGCAGCCCAGCTCCTGGCCTGTCTAAACAAGGGTTCAGCAGGAGTGGATGTTGTCTCCTTGGACTTTTATTAGGCTTAGGCTCTTTGATGCCTAGGGATAGGAGAAGAGGCAATAGGCCTAGTATCAGCAGTAATCTTTTTTTTAAAGTTGATTTTCCTAATTTTAAATACTAGCCTTTTTTTAAGGGCTTTATGATTTTGGTGAATCAGAAAAAAGAAATATAGGCACCTAACAATCAATTTGCTTCTGTTTGAAGACATTTACTTCATTAAAGACTTTTGCTTTAGAAGTCCAGCCTTAAATTTACACTTTTCTATGATGCAATGAGAACTAGAAAATGAGGAGCTTATGGGAAAGAGTATGTTTGACTAAAGCTTTTCTGGTGCCTGTCTTGCTCTCTGCTGCAGTGTCCAAGGCAGACTGCTATGTGGAACTAAAGCTGCCCACTGCATCTCCCAGTGTCTCCCGAACTCAGGTTGTTGACAACTCTGAGAACCCAGAATGGAATGAAACTTTCCAGTATCGGATCCATAGCGCTGTCAAGGTAAGGACACACTGTGGAGTGGGTTGGACTACTTGTATTTTTGTACTGGCTTGCTTTTGATACTTCATTCAAAACCAAGGGTTCTTTATTACCCTCAAAATTAGTGCTGCTTGTAAGGTGTCAGTTGTCTTCAGTGGTACAAAAAGCTGTACCAAAACTGCTGTGTTTAATTGCTCTCTCAAGTAAATTGCAGCTAGAACTTTCCATAAGCATCCTTGTGATGCATCTCAGGAAAGGGAAGTTATGGCACTACCTGGTGGAATTAAAGGAAATTCCTTGATCAAGCAGGATTTGATGTTTGCTCCTTCTTTCACAGGAACTAAATTTCTACTCACTGCCACGTAGTTCATTCAGTTATGTTCTGCCATCAGTTCTGATGATTGAGAAAACCAAATTCAAACTCTTGGGTAGAGACTGTGCATCTACTCTCTGTGTAGGTCCTAATACAGTGTTTAACAGTCTTCAGATTGTCAGCATTCATTCTCAAAGCAGACACTGATGGTAGGGGGAAGGAAACTGTACTTTAAAAGATCAGTTTTAGTGGGGCACTATTGCTTTGAATAACATCCCAGGCTTTGGAATAAGGTGTCTATTAACAAGAAATAACCCACCTCACCTTTCCACAGTGGTTGGTGACAAATGTGGAATGGTAATTGACTTGACTGGTAAGAAAATGGAAAGCTAAACTTTAGAGTGTGGGATCTTTTTCTTTCCCTCCGGGCTCATGAGACCTCAGCCTGGTTTCTGCTGGAGACTGCCACCAAAATTCCAAGTTCAGTCTTGTCTCCTTGAGAACTAGTTGCTGCAAGGCTATTATTTGGATGCCATATGTCCTCACTGTATCTGTTTCAGTTTCTCATGAATTTACCATCTCTGAGACAGTGCTGAGCAGGAAGTGATTGGTCCCTATAGCATCCTGGACTAAATCATCATGAAAGAGTGGAAATTGCTGTTGCTTCCTTGGGCAGCAGGAGCTGGTGGAGAGCACTGCCACATGAGTTCAGCTGGGGCCTCCCTCTAAGTGGGAAGCTGAGAAAATACTTTAGCTAAATGGTGTCAACTAGGAGAATCTTTTGCTTAACTATGCTGTAAGCCCTGCTGAAAATACTGAATTTTCCTTAGGACTGGAAAGGGGAAGGGTATTGATTAATGGACCCAAAGCGTCCATTGTATGCAGTTCCCCAGGTTTGTCAGTGTTTCTTCCCCTTCATCTTAGGCTGTTTGTTTCTTTCTGCTTTTAGAATATTCTGGAGCTGACCCTCTATGATAAGGATGTCCTTGTCAGTGATGAGCTCACCTCTGTCATCTTCGACGTGGGGGGCATGAGGCTGGGGGAGCCCCTGCTGCGCACCTTCAGCCTGGACCCCGAGGTGAGCTCCTGCTCAGCTCAGCCCTGCACGGAGCTGCCAGGGCCTGCTGGCTGGCTCACCTGTGTGGAGAGCCAGAAGGGAGAAATCAATCAACTGCTGATGACAGCTCGTGTGGTTTTGCTGTCAACTGAGATGTTTCCAAGTTCTCTAGTAACTTTGTTTGTGTGTTTTCCACAGTCTTTGGGATGCCCCAGGGATTACTGCTGTCTTTCAGGAATGTTAAAGCATCTTTAAACGGAATTAGTTTTTTGTGAGACTTAGAGGAACATAAACTGGTTTTAAAATGAAAGGCATTTGCCTTTAATCATTGTAGGGGCTGTCTTATTTAGTTTGTCATCATCTGCAAAAAACAAGTTTATTTCTGCAAATGTTACCTGTATATCTGATAAGTCAAAAGCCTAAGATAAGTTTTACCTCTCTATATCTGATAAGTCAAAAGCCTAAGAGAAGTTTATTTTCTCTGGATTATGTTCAGTACATTTAACCTCTGCTTCATGTAGATGGTATTGGTGATCAGCTGCTCTCAAAAGCAGCTGTTTACCTGTTTATGGACTTAGAAGACAGCCTGTTTTACGTGTGTGAAAGCCACATCACCAGACTGATCTATTTTGTAATGCCACAAACACATTGCTACAATAGGTCTGGATTAAAGGTGAGCTAATGATGTGTTTTCTTGAGAAATTGGGCTTCAGTGCTGTTGGTGTGGTCAAAAGCTGGCTAACTGGTGTGCAGTTCACAGGGAGGTGTTGGGCAATGCCACAGGCACTCCAAATCATTCATGATCATGGGAAGAGGCTTAGGAATTCCATTGCTCCCAGTAGGTCTATCCATTTGCTGAATGCTTAAGTTATCTTGATCTGTAATTAAGAGACTGGAAATTTCAACTTCAGCCAAGAAAATTACCCAAAACAACTTCTAGTTGTTAGTTTAAAAGCTGTGCTAGGTCTGGTATCAAATATTTGCTGTATGCTATGGGAGGAGAAAAGACTTTGGCTGGAACAAAATCTGTAGAGGACAAAGACAGCAAGGAGCTAAGGGTGCAAGCTGCTGAAATAAGAAATGGGAAGAAGCCCAAAGCCTCATATAGAAGCTGTTTGCAGAGATGATGTTGCAGTGGTTCTTGAGCCAGAGGAGGTTTTTTCGCTAATTAGCAGAGTAATGGATCTGAGAGACAACTCTCACTTCTGTGCACTTGCGCCTTCAAATGTAGATGTGTCTGGTCATACAGGACTTGTCCAGCAGAAGAGGAATATTTAAAGGCTAAAGGCTACATTTAACGATTTCAAAAATTTACTGGAGCTTTTCTAAAAGGAACAAACCCAGTTATTTTAACAGGAAGTTACTGTTACTATGTAACAGGAGAAAAGCTTAATCTCTTGGAAAAAATGTCTTTTAATTATATATTCAGGATTAAGGGTCACCAATATCCAACTTTTATTTTCAAAGGCTAATGAAGAGCTGGATGTAGAGTTTTTCTTGGAGAAATGGTGAGTCTTACCTGAAGAGCTGATTGCACTTGTGCTCTGCAGATCTGTTATCAGTTGTTTTTTCTGTGCAGGGATAGTCTTGCTCATAAAAAGGATAATACTTGATAGTTCTCTGTGGTGATTGAGCTGGCCCACTAATGCCTGGCCAAAATTATCCTTAATACTTCAGTCACCAAAATTTTGGGGGTAAAAAAGAAATAAAATTTTGCTGGACTTCATGGGACATAACTAATCCAGAAAGTGTTCACTTATTTGGGGGTGGAAAGTTTCAGTTAACCTTACAAAATACACAAATGTATGCTTTATTATCTGGTAGTATTATCTAAGTTCAGCTTTTCTCTAGGTTATCAAAATAATTGGGATGGGGAGATCCTATAGCACATGCTTATATTTGCAGACAATTTTTTTTCAATTTGTCCAAGCCTCCATTATTTTGTGAAGGGAAATATACTTGCTGTTTCCCTGGATCTCCCACACTGAGGAACTTTTCATCCCACTGCTTATTCAGCCAACTAGTTTGTAAAGTAGGATGAAGCAAAATTAAAACCAGTTGTCATTTGCAATAAACCTCTTGCTTTCACAGCTCAGATGCCCCTACAGAAGTATTGACCAATGGAGTCCTTGTGGTGAGTACATGGAAACCAGAATCATGTGTGCTGTGATTTACTCCGCAAGATAAGTTCCTTGTAGAAAGAGGAGAAGGATTTTTGAGTATTACAGTCCTACTTCCAAATAGCTCCTATTCTCTCCAAGATCTACCTCTCTCTTTTTGAATTTGTTGATTTAAAAATCTTCCTCAATTTTTGAGCTTGATGCCAACTTACAGAAAGCTGCAGTTTTTTGTTTGGAGGTGTTTGTTTCTTTGCTTTTTCCCTGTAAGGTTGCCATAAAAGTTGTAAAAAATGTCTTTAGCAGGCAAGTGAGTCTTGAAGGTTGTACTGTGTTTTCTAAGTTAGATGCTGTCCAGGAAGAGTCCCTCTTCTTGCTTTGACACGTATTATTTCTAAGCTTTTATCAATGCCGTTATTAAGTAGGGGATCACTCCCTGTGGTTTTGGGTTAATCAGTCTAAGAAAATCAGTGTGCTATACATTAAAAATAAGTGTTACTACCTCTTTGCTCCCTTGAAAGAAGGGACTGGAGTCATGGATTTTTTTATAAGGAGAGAAGGATTATGGTTGAAATTATTGTTGAAATGTAGAGTTTTAACTTCTTTTCCCCCTGAAAAGTTGGTGGCATTTAACAGCACAGTTCTGAAAACTATTTCATAGGAAGGAACCTTTTGTGTTCTAATTTCCCTCAGCAAGTCAGTCTTAATTCAAGCAGTGGACTAGTTTCATATCTTTTAGGGAAATTGTGTCAAAATCAATCTCTCATCTACTGTCCTAGAGGGTAAGCTGATGGCTGAATGGTGTGAGAGACTAAATTTCATGAGGACATAGACAAGCTGGGACAGAAATTTATGAAGTGCTTGCTTGGATCTGAACAGGTTCTGAATTGGTACTTGTACATACCTCTAAAAAAGGTAAAAAAGCCAGAAAAACCCCAGGTGTTCATAACATGTAACTGTGAAGTACTGGTTGTAAAAAAACCCAGTTCTTGGAATAGAAAGGATGGTTTTTATTTTGAAACAACATCTAATAATCCTGTCCTATTGAAACAAAATTTGGTCTTTATTTGAAATAACAAAACAATGCCTTGTGGTTTTTTTTGACAGTTTGCAACTGTAAGCCTACAACTAATATAGTAGGTGAATTAAACTTCAAACAAAGAAGTGAACTAACAATTGTGTGACCAGAGCTGGTTTCTTTTTTTCACAGGCTCATCCTTGCTTGTGTCTGCAAGGCACTGTCAACAAAGAGGAAAACGCAAAGGAGAAACAGCAAGGTAGGGCTGCCGGGAGAGTTTAAGTCAGGACAACTCTTGAACGTGTTTGTTCCTTGAGAGAGAGGAGAGCTTGATTCTCCATCTATACAATGCAGTTTAATTTACTGACTACAAAATTGGCTGTTAAAGTAATTTTTGCTTTTATTTTCAATAATTAATAATATTGGGTATTTTCTACTGGGTACCCCACAATAGAGTTTTCACTTGTGTTTTCATGGTCTCAGCTACTCTTAATACTTAGTACTTGATTTTCAACAAGTGGCCCCTGTGGTCTAAACTTCTTTTTCTAATGCACAGGATGCTGTGAAGTCAAGGTGTCTGTCCCAGGGGCATATCAAAAGCAGTTGTCTATTCCTTGGACACCAGACAATGAGAAGGATTCTGGAACCTCATTTATCTTTCATGTGGATAAAGAAATGTGTCCAGAACTGCAAGTGGAGTTGCAGCAAACCATATCTGTCCTACAGGTAAGCATCCATGATGATTCCATAAAGCTTACAGAGAGATAAGTTTTCCTCTATTGTTGACTTTTTTTTTTTTTTTTTTTTTTTTTTTTTTTTTTTTAATGTCAGATTGTGCATTGGATCTTTGTTGTGTAAGGAGCTGAAATTACCTTAAGAGTCTATGCTCCCCAAAGATTTAACATCTGTTCAAACACAGCGATTAAGAAAATGTTACTCTGTACATGCTTGCTACATGTAGTCATCTTCACTTTCACCTTTTGAGATATTCTGTAGGAACTCTTTTCTATTAGAAACTTGTAGATCAGTTGCAGAGGTTTATTTAGCTTTGTCTTTTACTTTGCAGTTTCTCCAGGTAGTGACTGAATATTCATTCTCCAAAAATGAGAGCAAGGAAACTCTTTATTCTGTGGTGTTTTTTATCCCAGCAAGCAATTGAGTAGCACGATTGCAAATGATGATCTTGGCTACTGTAGAGGCAGCTGTGGAGAAGAGAACACAAAGAAGGATGTGGAAGAACAGCTTTGCCAGGGGGTTTGTTAGGCAGCAAACATGAGCTGAACAGAGAGACCTGGGCTTGAGTGATCAAAAACTCAGAGCCAGGCAAGCAGAAAACACTGTAGAGGTCAACTGTGGAGATTGCCCCAGGTGGGGAACCTCTGCCCACCAGCTCTGGTGGCTAGCAGAACATACTCCTTCATCAAGTGGCACAGACCACAGAAGTCTTCACTCTGACCTTTTCTCTCTTATCAGGTGTGAGAGAGTGCCAGGAACGTTGTAGTGTTGCTTGCCCTATGCCTAAATGCATGTTGTTTGCCCCTGTTAGGAAGAGGACAGTGAGCTTAGGGGGACATAGGCCTCAGGACAGCAGTTGTTGGTCAGAAGACGCCTGTGAAGGCTGTGGGTGGTTCCTGGCCTGACTTCAGCTCTTGGTGTGAGAAGGGTGCCAGCCTGGTTTTTCTCCAAGGTGTGGTCTCCTCCCGAGGGCTGAGCCCTGTGGTTGGTGTGTGGGCTCCAGCCCACCTGGAGGCTTGTGTGACCCTCTGAAGTGAGGGGTTTTTAATATGCCTCTTTACATTTAGGAATCTGCACACAGCTCTGTGTTATGAGATCTTGCCATTTGCTACATGACAGAAAACCCAAATATTTCCTGGCAAGCTTTAGTTCTCTCTGCTTTTAATTTTTTTTTTTTTTTAAATTACATACTGCCTTATTTCTTATTTTGTGGTATTTTTGATGTATGTGTAATGCTGCTGCCTTTTTTTGGTATCTTTTCCAAATCTTGCTTGGAAGATGGAATACAAATTTGTTTGTGTGTTTTCTGACACATGCCAGAATAAAACTATTTTGGCGGAAATTTTGTACTTAAAGATTTTTGAATTATGGCAGACAGGTATATTAAAAAAACCACTAATAACAATAAACAAAACATCCCTAAAACGAAACCAAACAACAACAACAACAAAGAAACTGTTTGAGTGAATGAAATACCCCTGCAAAGACTTGCCAAGTAAAAAGCAGAGTGCCCTCAAAAAGCTTTAGACATTTGGTAATAATATTTGGTAAATATTTAGCTATAGTGATATTAAGAATTGTTTGCTGTTTCAATTTATAAAAGTAATTTTTTAAAACTTTTTTCTGTGACTCTCACATAAGATTTTGTTTTTATTAGGATGGTGTGAACCCTGATATTGAAAAGCACACTACAGTTCTGGGACTGGGGACTGTACCAGTTAATTCCCTTCCTATTGGAGAAAAAGTTGATAGAATAATTTCTTTGGGAGAGGTAATGTCAATATTTTGCTCTTGCTTTAATATGCATGAGATAACCTTTTCCTCCATTGCCTCTAGGTGTTTGGAAAGTTAGGCAACATGTGACTGATTCTCAGGAGTGCTGTTTTCTCGGATGTCTTAGAATGAAGTAATGAGATTACTCAGTGCAGTTCTTCCTAATGTGTTTTCATGGTCGGGTCTTGCAAAATGAAGTATAAAGTTCATCACTTTCTGAAGAAAAAAGTATTTTCAGGCTGTGAAAGAAAAGTATTAGAGGAGGGAAAAAGCAAGACACTTCCAGAGGAAATAATTCGTAACTTCTATTTTGTAGTTCCACCTGTGTAATTGCTGTCAACTTCAATATGTGTTCTCTCTTTTCACAGGGAAAAAGTTTGGATATGAGTTTGAAAACTGAAGAGAGGTGAGTGGGAACCCCACTGGAAAATCAGGAAAGGTCATTATTGTCATATAAAGGAACTGAGTGACTCTCCTTGCTGTTCTGGGGAGGTCTGTTCACTCCATTGATCTCTTGGGATAGATTAAAGAAAAATATATTTGATAGGGTTTTTTTATCATTTTCTGGGGGCTGTGACTCTTTACTTTGCAGATATTATCTATTGGTTGATGTCAATCCTGCTGACACTTGTACAAATTTTGTGTTCCTAACCCTTAAATGTAAAATAGCTATTGATGTACATATTAAGTAGTTTTGTCATGCACAGGTATACCAGAATATATGAAATGATGTAATGAGAGATAGGAAAGCACATATATGTGTGAAGGGTTTGAACTATAAAATGGACGAAGGCTGCAAGAAAGGAGTAAAAAGGGCAAAAAAACCCCAGAAAACCGAGAAGTTGGCTTGTAAGTTGATAGGGTCATTTGGTATCCAGTCATCAGCTGAAGATCTTGCTCCTGTTTTAGAGCTTCATAACAAGTTCATTGGTATTCAGTTGCCTCCTGCCTCTTAAGTTCAGAATCTTCTGTTTTAAAATCCCTCTTCCCCTCATTTCTTGTTCATGTTGATACAGTGATGTCAGTTGCTTCTCTTACAATCTTCTTCACAAAGAAGAATCTTACGAAGAATCTTTTCTTCCTTTGTGAAATCCCTGAAGCTTAATCTCAGTACTGTTTGACAGAAGTTTTGAATTTAAATATTAAAGGAGAATTACAATATGGAGAATTTAATTTTTAATTCCAAAAGCTGTTGTACAAAATAACTGATGTATACACTAAAATTTCACCTGGACCAGTTCAGATCTGCACCTAGGTTGTGTGTTCACAAAAATTGCATTTCCATACTGATTACAAATCCTCCAAAATGTCAATGTTTTTTAACTTAACTTCTATTTCAGCTCTTGGGATCTTGATATACGTCTGGGGTTTGATCTCTGTAAAGAGGAGAGAGAATTTTTGGACAAAAGGAAGAAAGTAGTTTCTGAGGCACTGAAGAAGACTCTTCACTTAAAAGAATCCCCTCCAAAAGATGAGGTATTGAGCACAGTCCTGTAGTGAGACTGTAAAACCCTTTGGGCTTGGTTGATAATTAGGCAATGTAGGAATCCTTGCTTGTAACTAACAAAAAACATGGTTTGCATTCACTATGGTGTGAGACAGATCCCTGGTACATTTCAGTTCTGAAGTCTAAATGTTTTTATATTTCTTAAACTTTGAGGGATGTGTGCATGTTTTGGGACACAAATGTTGGAATTTCAGAATGTATGCACTGTACTGGAATTCTTCGGCTTTGGGCTTGGAATTGTGATGGAAAATTTTGTTTCAGAATGTTTAAAATGAAACTCACATAACAGGAATAGATTCTTAATTGCTTATTTGAGGAAACTTACATTTACATATCCTAATACCTTGCTCAGTGGTATTTGGCTACTGTTACAAGACTAATTGCCTCTTACATGTGTATTGTATGAAGGTAAATGTGTGATAATATACATAGCAATTTCAGTAAGTGACTGTCCCTAAGATGACCGTGCTATGCTTTATAGTAAGCAATATATTTCAATTACAAAATAGAGAAAGAAGTTCAGCTTGGAATCAACCCAAAATTGTAATGTAGATAGAAATAAATGTTTATGTCTCTATTTTATATCTCTATTTTTTATCTTCTATTTGTTGTTCAAATGAGACTGCAGTGGGGTTAGTTCTGTGATTTATTGGCCAAGCCTGTGGTTGTGACTCCTGAGTTTGCTGTCTGCAGGTTCCAGTCGTGGCGGTGCTGGGCTCTGGAGGTGGGATGAGAGCACTGACATCCCTCTATGGCAGCCTTGCTGGGCTGCAGCAGCTGGGCCTTCTGGATGCTGCAACGTACCTCTGTGGCATTTCTGGCTCCACTTGGTAAGCTACATGCAGTTTTGATTCAGAAACATAGAGGTGAAATGGTAGTGTTGATGCAAAATAAGACCAAAATTTCATTTGTGCCATCTGTAGGCAGACAGCAAATCAAGTATTTTACCAGTTTTCATCTGTGAGTTCTTTAGGGGATCCTGAACAGTGTAAGAGATCCAGCATTGTGTCCAACCCATAAGCTACTGGCTAAAACTATGAATCTGCTGCTTGTGCAAGTTTGACAGTTTATGAATTACATGAATAAAACTGCTGTGTAGTACCTCAGAGCACTGACTTAAAAACCTTCCTCATTCCCCTGCTTTGCCAAGAAGATAACTGAGGTGGTGCAAGTCTCTGGAAACATGTTCATGCAGACCACTAGGTCATCACCTTCCAGAATGGCACAGAGGCTGAAGAGAGGCATAGCACTGTCTTGCACTATTTCAGCAATGTGCTGAAATATTAGACGTGGCTAGAATGTTTCAGTCGCTCAGTTCTTCGAGTCTGTGGTGAAGTCTTGCCTTGTTTTTGTGAACTTATTTCACAGAGAAGTTGTGCAACCTGACAGTGTAATTCTTCCTTCCAAGCTTTGTGTGTTAAATTAACTCCTCTGTACCTAGTTCTCCTGCCCCATTTGGTTCAGAGACACTCCCAAACAAATGTGTATAGATAGTGGTCCAAACTAGCTTCTCCTTCAGCCAGACCTGTCTTCTGGTAAAGGCCATGGCACCCTTGCCATCAGCCAGTATATCATGGTTGTTTTTTTCTGGAGTTAACATACGTTTATGGGCTGGTTCATGGGTGCTAGCATAGGATGCTTGGAACATCTCTGGAAGGCAGGTTAACAATCAGAACAAAGATGTCCTATAGGTGTCAGGGTTTTCATCACAATTTAGCATTTAGAGATCTTTTATTTATGGGTTCTTCACTCTTGTAGCTAGACTTCTCAAGTGCTGCAGCACTAATTACAACTAGCTAAAATTTTTGTTTACAGAAAGGCCTTTATTACTGATGACATTAATAAAAGCATTTTCAGGTGTTTATCAACACTGTATCGAGACCCTGACTGGTCACAGAAAGACCTTCAAGATGCAATCAGCAGAGCTCAGGACGCTGTGTCCAGCAGCAAAGCAGGGGCATTTTCCCCAGAACGACTGAAATACTATTTCCAGGAGCTGAATGCAATGGAGATCACTGGACGGAAGGTTTCCTTTACAGATTTGTGGGGCCTCATTGTGGAATATTTCCTACAACAAGAGGTAAAAGTATTAGTGTTCTGCTGTTTGTTTTTAAGTGGGAACTCTAGTGAGCCGTGTATTTAGAGTCGAGAAACTAATTACTCTCCACCTCTGTTTAGGCAGTGCTGTGGAATAAACATAGAATCTTCTGTAGTAAAGAATTTTTGATTCATATGGATCAGTGTTACAGAAAAACGCAGTGTTTATTTGGAATGACTGTTATTAAAATAACAGCTTGTGTACTGAGCAGGTTAAGCCTGGCAGAATGATATTGATTTTGCAGAACAGAGTTATTGTGCGGAGTTATTTTCTATGTAATTGAGATTGAAAATCAGAGGGATAGCTAGTTTATTATTAACATTAAATATTCTAAATACAGAGCTGCAGAAATATTTTGGACAAATCTAACCACATACTTGGACAGTGAAGAGGAAAAGGGACTTTGAATTACTAGTATTGTTGATCAGAAATGCTAAGCAACAGCTACCAATTATCAAACTGTGGGTACAGAATTTACCTGACTTAAGTGGGCTCCTCCTTCCTTGCTTGTGACCAGGAAGATTCATCAAAGCTGTCTGATCAGCAAGCAGCAGTGAAATGGGCCCAGAACCCTTATCCTATCTATGCAGCTGTGAATGTGAGACCTAATATGAGCAGTGGAGACTTTGCAGGTATGAACATATAAATGTATTTTTGTTTGTTGAAATCCACACATTTATTTCATATATCCAGCTGTTTGGGCTGTGAGCAGCTGATAACAGGAAATGCAGCTCAAGCAGCAGTTGGTAGTGCAAGAGGCAATCAGAAACCGATTGACAAGGTATTATCGTCCTGATAGCAAATGTCTTCTTTGTGGCTAAAACAGAGAAATGAGATTCAGAACTGTTGGCCACTCTACATGTTTTGCTAGGAACTGCCTGAAATTTTCAGGAGATGAGAAGGTTCCTGTAATACATGTGTCTCTGTCTGAATCAAAGAATGAGGCCTTGGTGATAAGGAAACCACTTTGTTTTAGTGGTCTGAGTTCTTACAGTAAAAATATGAAGACTAGTCTATGAAGACCAGTACATTACTTCAAATATGATGCAACAAGTGGGGATGGATGAGTGAGACAGGAGCACAAATGCTTGTGTCCATCTGTGCACCACGAGGGGACCTGTCTGTTTTATTCTGAGGAGTGTGTGTGTATGGCAGTGAATTCAATTTGGTCAAACCTGCCAGAGTTCAAGAAGGATTTGGATAATGCTTGCAGATGCATGCTTTGTGTTTTGTCAGGTTGATCTGTGCAGGCCCAGGAGTTGGACTGGATGATCCTTATTTTTCAACTCTTTGTAGAAATCTTTCAAGCATGAGGAGGCACTTTGGAAAGCACACAGTGAAGTCTAATGCAGTGGGTTAACTGAGTTTTCAAGCCATTACTGCAGTAATTCCTGGGAGATAGTTCATAGTGCAAGGAAAAGCTGAGAAAAATAGTGTGGCTTCCATTTTGGATGGAAAAGGGAGCCATCAAAACTTTTTTAAATTAAAAGTAAAATAGGGAGATTATTTCTGTAGCAACAAAGTCAAGATGGAGCAAGATGGAATGAAAGCTTTCACAAGAGTTTTTATTAATTATATGTACATAGAAATTAGAGCAGAGGGGCAGAGAAATCCATAATGATTGTGAAAGGTGGGGGGAGAGTCCCTTCTGTCTGCCCTGTGTGAACAGAGATCAGTATTTTCACTCATGTTTACTCTGAGATGAGTAAATATCCTGTTGGCTTGTTCTTAGAATGGTGTGAGTTCACTCCCTATGAAGTTGGATTTCGCAAATATGGAGCTTTTGTTCGAACGGAGAATTTTGACAGCGAGTTCTTCATGGGACGGCTTGTCCAGAAACATCCAGAGCCCAGGATTTGTTTTCTACAAGGTATGATCTTATGATAATGATTAAATTATCATATAAGGAGATGGAAAGGAACTTTGCTACTCTGGGGACTTAGGAACTCAAGTCCATGCCTTTTTTCCCTTCCAAAGGACTTGAAGAAGTGAAACATGTCGATTTTTCTCCAGAGCTTTAGGTTCATAGCTGGTTCATAGTATTACAGTCTGATGTCCTGAGTCTGCAAGATGACTCTTATAGCTGCCTGTCAAAAATATCTACTGTCAGTCTTCCTGTTCTCTTACTGACTTTTTCGTGCTTTTCTCTTGGAAAATTTTCTGCATTATATTGTAAGATCATAATTTCTCACATGATTAACACCAAGGTTTTCACTCAAACTGTTAGAATAGTAAGGAATCAAGTGACAGCCCTCTCCCATGAAAAATGTCGAGGGAATTATAGGTCTTTTGGTTCCATGAAAAACCTTTTGAGTGTTAAATTCTTCTGCATTTCTCCTGCAGGAATGTGGGGCAGTGCCTTTGCTGCAAGCTTGGATGATATCTGCCTGAAGGTGGTTGGTATAGGACTGAGCTTTCTAGATTCTTTCAAAGATGTTATCAAAGTTGTAGGTAAGAACATACATAAAAATAGTTGGATTTTTCAAAAGATGGATGATTTTGTAGTGATCACAAATAATATCATAGAAAAATGTGCTGTATGTAGTTTTCAAGATTAGCACAAAGGGTGGATTGGAACACATCTCTTATTGTGTGTTATTCCCTTTGATCACTCTTATAGTGAAGAGAAATTGTTTCTTTAGTATACTTCCTCTTCTTTTGAAAAGGATTTTTATCTGACTTCGACTAAAATTTGGGCTAGGTCTGGGAGCTGTCTTAAACACATATTAAAGTGCAGGCATCATAAACCTGAGAAGAGGAAGAATAGAAGCTGGATTGCTAAGCAGGAGATGGAAAAAAGAGGCTTTCACTTTCCCCCATGGTCTGCTTTTTGTAGTATTGGAAAGCTGGTTGTATGCTTATTTATTGACCTCCATTTTTTCATTACAGTAAGAAGTGTTTTAGAGGCTGGGACTTGTTCTTGTGCATAGTTATGGCCTTGTAGTAACTAGTGTATGAAGAGATTTTTTTTTTTCCTCTGCCTTTCCAGCCCTGGTTCCCAGCACACCCCGCCCTTTTTGTTTTGTGTAGTTATAAATGCTACTGTGTGTGGTTGACTGATGTCTTATGTGACAGAAGTGGTTGTCACTTGGTAACAAGGGTTTCTTTGTGTGGGTTTGAAATTAATATGGACAATGCTTTATGAGTAAAACTTTTCCCATTAAACAGGGCTAGTAAATCACCCACCTATGGAATATGCATTGCATTTAAATTTCATTACAATACCCTTATTAGAGGACAAATCCAGCCTTAGGACCACTGGTTAAATATGGTGCAAAAAGGCCTGATTGAAATGTTAGAGCTGGCACTTTGTGCATGCTCTGCATCCTTCTGTGACTTCTGCAGATGACTGCCGAAGATTCCATTTCCGAGACCCAGCACGGCTGAAGACCCGCTTGGTTACACCTGGGGGACCGCTGCTACAAGTTTTTCAGGATTTCTTCAAGTCCCGCGTCACATGTGGAGAAACCTTCAATTTCATGAAGGGATTGTATCTTCACAAAGATTATGTTAACATCAAGAAATTTGTGACTTGGAGAGGTAAAGGAGTTTATGTGTATCTGACTATCACAAAATATTAACACACTATATAATATCCCAATGGAACATAAGTGAGCTTGACTTTGTTCTGCTGAAGCCAGGGAATGTATCCCTTCTTACACCATAGCAAAAATTTTAATCCACTGTATTTGTTCTGTCATATAAGGCAAGCTGATCATCAGACATTATAGGTCTGTCTTAGATGAAAGTGCATGTTGGAATGTCTTTTGTCTTCTTGTAACACTAATATATGAGCTTTGTCTATTTCTTCTGCCAATATGTGTGTAATGAATCAATATAGTTACTTGTGTTGCTTGGAGTGTCTTACAGGTACTCACCTGGATGCATTTCCCAACCAGCTGACTCCCATGGAAGAGAGCTTGTATTTAGTGGATGGTGGCTTTTCCATCAACTCTCCCTTTCCTTTGGTACTTCAGCCAGAGAGGGATGTGGATGTTATCTTGTCATTCAATTTTTCCTGGGAAGCTCCATTTGAGGTAAGTGAGGTAGCTGAGCATTATTACATGAACGTAAAAACACAGAATCATACATAGCAGCAGATTAGTTGAAGCTGAATACAAACACTAATCAACAAATGAAAAGAAATCCTTTGAAGGAATTTCAAAAAGTCTTTCCTGGAATCACAGAATGGTTTGGGTTGGAAGAGACATTAAGGGTCATCTCATTTGAACCCTCCTGCCATGGGCAGGGACGCTTTCCACCAAACTGGTTTGCTTAAAGTCCTGTCCACCCTGGCCTGGAACACTTCCAGGGGTGGGGAGTCCACAGCTTCTCTGGGCAACCTGTGCCAGTGTCTCACCACCTTCACAGTGGATTTCTTCCAGATATCTAATCTCAATCTACCATCCTTCAGATTAGGGCTGTTTCCCCCTTGTCCTGTCACTACATGCCCTTGTGAAAAGTCATTCTCCATCTCCTGTAAACCTCCTTTAGTACTGAAGGGTCACCCTGGTGCCTTCTTTTCTCCAGGATGAACAGCCCCACTCTCTTGGCCTGTCTTCCTGTGAGAAGACATTTCAAACATTATTTTGCTATGCTTTTTCCTGTGAAGGTCATGAGAAAATAGAAAGTTGATGACTGTAAGAAGATTCAAAAATTTTCAGAAGCCTAAACAGATTGTTAAGTAAAATAAGACTATTTGTTTGGCCTGTAAGATGATTGCTACTTAGATATGTGCCTCTAAAGAAAGAGTGACTATTGGTGATTTTCTTCATGGAAGCAAGTTATTTTCTGTACATACAAGTGTTCATTATTAAGTGCAGAAAAGTCAAGGTGAATAGATTTGGAGTAGGAAAGCATAAAAAGTTTCAGCTGCAATCTGTTGTTATTTGTTGCAGTTCTGCTCTTCATTCTTCTATATTACCAGCTAGAGAAATTATTTCTGCTGATTTGAAACCGAGCTTCTGTCACTTCTTTTATTTTTCTTTTTTTAAATGCAAGTCTCTTTCCCTTTGAGGATTGCTATTAGATGATCTTAGAAGTGTTGCTGGTGCTCTATTGCAATTATCTTTTTCCTCTGATAACAGGTTTTAGAGCTGACTCAGAAATACTGTGAGGAGCGGGACATTCCTTTTCCAAAAATCAAATTTAGTGAGGAAGATGAAAGGAAGCCAAAAGAGTGTTACATGTTTGTGGATGACAATAATCCAAAGGCTCCCATTGTACTCCATTTCCCACTGGTGAATGACACCTTCCAGAAATACAAAGCTCCAGGTAAGCAAGCTGCATCTTAAAGCACTCTTCTAACAATTCTTTGGGTGTGCTGATGGGGAAAATTCAGTGAGGTCAATGTTCCTCTTTTGATTCTTCTTAATATTACTCTGTAATTGTTAAATTGTAATTTACTTTTAAGGCAGAATCAGTTTCCACTAGTTTTTTAAGGGCAGAATGAGAGAAGAGGCTCACAACACCCTTTCCCCCACAAAAGTGTTTGCAGTAAACTACTTTGATGTTCATCTTTTAAGGCTGGTATTTAAATTTAAGGGTCAAGGTACTCCTAGGGCCTGTTCAACTTGAGGTTTTTCTTTCATTTTTGTGTAGAGCAGCACTTCCAGGGAGAACTGAGCTTTATATTCCTTATTTTGAGCATAATAATCAAAGATGAACTTAACAATTTATCACAATGGAAATGTATTTTAGTACTGTATTTTGGATCGAAGTGGAAATAGAAAGGAAATACTTTGCCCCTTCAGTTTTCATATATTTTGGAAGGAGCTGATATCTCTGAGGAGGAGCTTTGGGGAAAAAGTTAAGTTTCAACAGAATTATCTCTGATATCCTCCTAGCAGAATTGAACTAAAATGATTCTACCACAGCAGAGGGTTTTTGTGATTTTTTTTCTTCTTTCTTTCTTGCTGCAGGAGTTGAACGTGAGTCAGAGGAAGAGAAATCCTTTGGTGACTTTATCATTGAGTCAAAAGATTCCCCTTACCGTACCCTGAACTTCACCTTTGAGCCATATGATTTCAGCAGGTTAGTGGAAGTGAATCGCTACAATGTTCTGAACAACAAGGACAGTCTCCTCAAAACCCTAAACTTGGCTCTGCAAAGGAGGAAGTTGAAGAAAGTCACCAATAAATCAAATACATGAGTGGTTTCCAAGGCTGAGGATACAGAGAGGCTGCAGTGTACAGAAGCTGTGAGGTTCAAGACAGAACACTGATAGTGAATAGCTGGAAACTCTCTTCCTGGAGAGGAGCAGTACACCTGACACTGAAAACTCATTCCAGGTCACGTCTCTGATGAAAACCCAAGGGATGTACAGTACAACATGGATGTTGCTTCCTCGTGTGGGGAAGAGTGAGGAATTACCCAGCTCGGTATCTCAAATCACAGTGGCTGATTCCAGATTGTTTGAGAGGTCTATACAAACTGTTCAGGCATCTGGAGAATAATCTTCCATACTATACTGAGGGATGCACCTCCTTTTGTCAGAGGTGTGTTGGTGTTTGAGGAAACAGATTCCTTCTGTACTTTTATCTCTTGCTTTAGAACCTCCCTTCAGGAACTTTTACAATTTATATCATCTTAAGAATAACTGTACAGATAAAAATGACACACGAGAGAGGAAATGTCTCCTCTTGCTTTCACCTTGCTACTGGCTGATGCCTATGTGCTTTCAAGACTAAACTGTCATTGCCTGCTTCCCATTTTGCCATTCATGGTTTCAGTTTCCTTCCTACCCTTCTCAAGGATTTTAATGGCTTTTATTCTCCCAGAAATTCTATACAGATTATCTTATTTTGGTAAAAAAATTTGTTTGGTAAACAAGGAAATAAATGTCTTTTATATTTAACAATAAAAACACATTGTGGGATTTTGTTACTACTTCCTATAGTTTGATCATCATGAGATGATGAAACTATGATGAAAATGCCATGTCTCAGCTTTCTCTTTCTGTGTAAGAGGAAGGAAGGCTCCTTTGAAGGGTTTGAATTAGATGTTTTTTCCTTACTCTTCAGCTTATAATTCAACCGGACCTTTGTTGAAGGAATTTTTGTGTCTATGTGTTTTAGAAACATCAATAGTCAAGGTAGGTACACCTTATGAATGTGAATTAATAAAACAATGTAAGATGCTGCTGTGCTGTGGGATGGGATTCACCTCACTTTGCATAAAGCCCAGAGAAAAGTACTGAGTTATGCAGTTGGAAAATATGTCATGCAGAACAGTGGCAAACAAGCACTTTTATGGCTTTTTACACTTTTACACTTTTTAGCCCTTACTTTTATGGCTTTTACACTGAGCTGAATGTACCAATTCTGGATTTAAAACTGAGGACAGGAGGTTTGTCCTATGAAATGATGTAAGGGCTTGTAGATGAGTATGGTTCTTAATACATTTTTTAGGTGTTTCTCTTTTAATAGGTATTAGTTTTGCTGACATATTCTTCACAGTTTTTCTTAAGTTCACTTGTCAGAGACATCTAGGCTGATAGCTTGCAGGTGAAAATCAGGAGCTAAGAAAGAAAACCTTGTATTTATTTTTTACTCCAGACCACCTAATCAAGGGCAGGATGAGAAAGATAATACCAGTTACTTCCTAAAGAATCTTTAAAAAGTGGAAAACCTATTTCAACTGAGAGATTGAAAGTGACCAAATTTCCAAGGTCAAGAACTGTGGTTTTTTGCTATCTTAGTAGGAGCTGGAAGTTGTGCTGGTGAATTCAACTGACTCACACTGAAATCACAATCACCTTGCTTTAATTATCCCTACAACTGAATAATTTTAAAAAGAGTTTCTAAAAACTTGGTTTTAAGTTGGCCTAAGTGAATTAACCAGGTACTTCAGCCTCTGATCTGATGAGCTATGATTACAGTGGAAAAAGAGCACACTGCCTGCATCTGCAAGACCATCTACTCACATCAACAGGTATTGCAGGTAAAATAGTCTTCCTTTTGTGGGGTTTCTAGACTGCCATAGACAAGGATCATTTTGCATTCACAATAATGTGGGTTTATTTTCCTCTGCAGTTGATGACCATGCTCTAAGTAGCTGATCAGGTCTAGCTGAATCTTTTGAGCTAAGTGCTTAGCAACTAAGATTTTGTAAGTTCACTTGATGCTATTGTATAAGGAAACAATTCTTACATTTAAAAAAAAATACTTTGGAACATTTTTATAGTAATTCCTGTTGTGGATTTTTGAATCCTGAAGTAGTGAAGGAACAACATAAAATAACTAATGGGATATCATACTCTAATAAGAAAACAATTACTTCCTATGAAAATACCTGCTTTTTTGAAGGAACAACATAAAATAACTAATGGGATATCATACTCTAATAAGAAAACAACTATGAAAATACCTGCTTTTTTTTCTGTCCTTGCAGTGTCAAAGGCAAACTTTTGTATGGCAGCAGATCTTCCGACAGCATCTCTAGTCACTTCCCTAACAGGTCTTATTGTGTCTGCAGTGATTCTAAGAGGAATTACACGTAAAATGCAAGCACCATAATGCTGTGAAGGTAAAAGGTCTGCTTCTTTGTTAGGTTGCTCAGGGCAGCAGCAGATAAACATTAAATCCAAAGGCAAAGGAGGGAGCAGAATCTTGTGGTGGAGTACCAGAGAGGGCAAACCACTGGTGGCCTGCTGCTGAGAGTGTTTAAGCCAGCTTTGTGGAGTAGGAGTCTTAGTAAAGGTCTCCGTGTCCTAGAAAAAGTGCTGCCTGGGAAAATGCAGGAGCACACAACAAAAGGTGGTGGTGTTTTTTTAAGGGTGCTGTACCTTAGAATAGAATGGTTGAATTAATTTTTCCACTTCTCTAGTATCTCCAAATTTGTTCATAGCCAAGCAATGTTGTTATGTTGAACTTTACTTTTCTGTAGTTCAGTGCAAAATCTTTGGAGTCTATCAACTCCAGTAAGCAAAAAATTTATCTGGAGCCACGCCTAAAAATCTTAATCTGGGACAGAAGTATTGCTAAGTCTGTTGCTTTTGATGTGGGAAATATTATACCAAGCTAGACTTTCAATCACATGTTTGTGATTAGTTCAGTTGCCAGTTGAGGCACTTTAAGCACCTCAAAAGGAAGAAAAACAAATACAGGAAGCAGTGTTTAATCAGAATTTGATATTGATATGACATGGATTTGAAAAAGGTAATGAGATCTAGAGGTGTTAGAGGTTGAAACATTTCCAGTGGAAAAAGGGAAATACTGTTGAACAAAGTTCTGATGAGAATGGACCTGACTGTTCTACATGAAAGCAACTTAGAGAAGGTAGATAAAGCTAGGAGGCCAATGGTGGTGTGAGAACAAATATATGAGGAATAAACTGAGGCTGAACATAAAAAGAATGTTTCAGAGTTTTTGTGAAGTCTATGAAAACATTGAGAATGGTTAGGCTAGCTTATTGGTGGACATGTAAAGCAGAAGCTGATGAATTGATGGAACAAATGATTTATACAGAGGTATGCCAATGTTTTTAAGAAGTGTTCTCTTGTTTCACATCTTGGTGATCAGGCCTCAACAACTGGTAGGAAGGGAAATGCTGATATGTCCCTAAGCTCCATATAAGCAAGGGAGCCTATATTGTTTTCTCCTGAGAATAAATCTTACTGCAGGAGTGGAGTACAGTCTGTGCACTGACACACACACCTGGGTGCTTTTCCGTACCTGTCACATTTTTCAAATCCTTTAAAGGGAGTAGTGCCCTCTTGCATGACACTGCAATGACACTCCTCAACAAGGCATCACTGCTGCATTTATGATCTTAAAATATCATAAGAGTTTGAGCTAGAATAGGCTGCTGCATTTAGCAGTCTTGCTGTAAATGGTATTTGGTATGAGTTTATTTCCTCCAAATGTATTTGACAGAGGGGCTTTTCAATTTCAGGGCAAAATACATCGGTTAGAATTGGGGTTAGTAATAAGGGAGACATATGGGAACACATTCTGTTACAAACTATAAGCTTTGTAAATTATTTTCATTACTATATAAATATATACATTATCTAAATTTTATAGATAAAACATGAACTATTAATTACTTGTCATGTACCTCATCTTTCTTCTTGTAATTTTGTGGGTTTGTAATTATGCCAATGTTTTTGACTACTGCACTCTTTTATCCATGGTTTCAGTGAAGCTCTACAGCACATGCAGGTGATGAATTTTTTTGGTTGTGGTTGTTTTTTGTTTGTTTTCTGAACTAGTTATTGCATTGCTGACCATCACAGGTCAGCTAAGAGTTGTATAATGTCACACAAACCAGAACTTCTGTTGAGGATTCCACAGAGACTGATTCATGCCTTGTGTGCTTTCAGCCCAAGGGTGTTGATGTAAATATCAGGCTGAGTTTACCTTAGGAGTAAACACAAAGGGCTGTAAAGCTTGATTAGCTAGGTGTGGTAAAAAAATGCTGCTCAGAAAATTATAGACAAAAATTGTAATTATTTTCTCTTTAAAAAAAAATCCCACAATATCATAAAGGTAATTAAATTTTACATGAGACCTTCAGTTATAAAACAAACAAATCTTTACATAACCCCAATGGGGGACAAATATCTTTATAAAAGTCTAGTTATGGTTACTGTCCCTGCCCAATTTGACCATCACAAGCATTTCCTTCTGCTTTGTGACAAGTAGAAATTAAAGAAGGTTTTGTGGGACTTCTGCGAAGTTAACCAGGCTCTGTATCTTTGCAATGCATTCTTTTCCATCTCTGTTGCTAAAGGTTCTCGTTGGAAAGCAGCTATGCCCCTCTAGATCCAAAGTGTAGTGTGACCACTGCACAAGCGCAGCAGTGCCGAGCCCTAGTCAGGATTGGAAGACTCATTGCAGGCACATCCATGATTTAAATGTAGGGTGTGGGGATATTTTTCCTTCAACATTCCACCACTGTGCCAGCCACCAATGTGGCAGAGCAATGGAAGTTCCCTGCTGTTAAGATTATTTCCCAACTCACTTTGGTTTCTTTCTTAAGGGTGTGTTTGTGTTCGTTTTGGGGTTTGTTTTTGTTTTTTGCACTTTTGCAGGGTTTTTTGCGTGTGTTTGACTTTTTGCTGTTAGAAAATGGTGGCAGTTGAAAAGCAGAGCTGAAATTGAGAAGCTTGACAGGGATTAGAGTGGATGGACTGTATTTTTCAGGTGCTTTGCGAATGCTTTGCTTGCAGAAGTTAGCCCCTGTTTTGTAATGAGGTGTGCTGGAAATGGCATCTGGACAGCTGCATTCATTAGTCCATTGTGAAACAAGGCAAGTTTAAGCAAGTTTTATCTGCAAATTTCACCTTGGGCTTTACTGTGGAACCATTACTGGAATCTGCATAATGATGCTATGACGTTTTAAGGATAGTATTACACCAGAATCTAATTTATAATGTGTCAACAGTGTTAAAGAAGTATGTCAGAAAGAAATGAGGATGAGAAAAGTCAGAAAAAACATGTGTTCTGGTTGAACCCAAGCCATTCTGTGATTTTATGATACTTGGGGTTACACGTGGAGGTCGTTGTAGAGTTCACAGTATGCATCAGGAAATGGAAGTCAGCTCCATTCAATTTGCAGCTATTTCGAGTTTTCTCTCTTTTTGCTGATTGCTCAGCATGGGGTATTTGTATGGGGTACCTCTCGTGGGGTATTTGTAATTTGGTCAGGCATTGAGGGAAAAATCCCCTACTTCTCTTAACTGTCAGAGAATCAGGTATTGGTAAATAATTGAAATTAACTTCTGTAGAGGTATAATTGTGTCATTATTCCAAGAAGCCTTAATTTGTAAACTCTGTTTTCTTTATGAAAACAGGATTATTTTTAAATAATAATAAACAT